GGCACTCTCAGAACCAAGTGGCTGGCTCAGAGAGGCCCCTAGCTCAGGGGCTGAGGTCCTCTTATAGGGAGTAAAAGAGGGGGTTAACATTTTTGGGCTCACAGACAGGGGACAAAGGTCTGCTGACTTGAGCTGGTGGTCAGCAGTCACATGCTCAACAGTCACATATTGATGAGTGACAGGTACCACCCATAGGATGTCTCAAAGGTCACCAAGACACTCCGGATGAGCAAACAGTTTGTTAATTAACTTGGGGCTCTATGTCTGGAGTCTCTAATTTACAAGTAGATTCAGATCCGGACTTCAAACAATACAAGAGTGATACACATTCTTAGGCCAGGGCTGGAACAAAGGTCGGGGCTGTGGCTACAATGGGAGGGGTTCAGGACACTGTCTCCTAGGCCCTTTGCCATTTAGCAAGGGCTTGTAATTTAGGTCCCACAAAGGGGCACCTCTGCCTTCCCCAGGGAAACCACGCATACAGTGGGCTGGAGGTCTGGGAAAAATAAGTGCACGCTACAGAAAATCAAATTTGCTGATGTTGATTCTGAAAGGAAGGGCGTTGGGGAAGATGTTTTTGTTTTGTTTTGCATCAACATCAACACTAGAACAAACAACAGCTTTCTGTATTTGCTTACTTTATCAAAAAGGAGCATTCGGGGATTTAGCTCAGTGGTTCCGCTGCCTGCCTCAGAAGTACAAGGCCCTGAGTTTGATCCCCAGTACCACAAAATAAATAAATAAATAAATAAATAAGGAGCATTTAGGGGCTGGGGATTTAGCTCAGTGCTTCTGCCACCTGCCTCGAAAACACAAGGTCCCAAGTTCGAGCCCAGTACAAAAAAAAAAAGGAGCATTTGTGCCAAGTACTGTAATCCATGCATCTAATCCCAGCACTTTAGTAAGCTGAGGCACGAGGGTTGCAACTTTAACCTTAGCCTGGGTAATTTAGCAAGACCCTGTCTCAAAATACAAGATAAAAGGGCCAGGGATTTAGCTCAGCAGCACTGCACCTGCCCCACAAGCACAAAGTCCTGAGTTCCATCCCCAGTACAAAAACAAACAAACAAAACCAAAAAGAGCTGAGGATGGAGCTCAGTCCCCATCCAAGGGACTGTTATTGTTATTTAACACTTTCTTCTGTACCATTTTCTAGTTTGAAAAATTTTCTAGTTCTCCTGGGGAGAAGAGATAGATAAAATTCTTGGCCCTGAACCCATAACCTGTGACCAATGAAGGTGATGACCCCTGGCCTCCAGTTTTAGCAGTGGATGGAATGTGTCCCTGTCTTTGCTGATCCTGGACTCTTATCAGAGGATCAGGTCACTGTAAGGAGCAGCGTGGTGCCATGAAGTCTCCAAGGACTAATTGGCTACTGATCCACATCTTTCATGAGGAAGAAATTTAAAAAGAAACCAATTTTAGCCACGCATGGTCTCCATGCCTGCATTCTAGGAGAATATCAGTATTATAGGAGGCTGAGTCAGGAGGGTCTCAAGTTTAAACCCAGTCTGAGCAATTTTGTGACTTGGCGAGAGCTTGTCTCAAAATTTTAAAAAGTGTTTAAAGGACTGGGGATGCCACTCAACACACTCAGTGCAAACACACTAGTACCCTAGTACTACAAAAAAAAATGTCGTGACCCAGTGGAAATGTCCCAATCCCTGCCAATTCCAGGAACCCTGTGCAAGCAGGCCCTCTCTTTGTTAAGGGGTCACCCGATCCCTCTGTCACTTTTCATTTCTGTTACCACTGAAACAAAGGCTCTCTGGGGCACTATCTGACTGGTCATTAAGCCATCCAGCTTCCTAGGTTTTGAGTCTCCTCACACAGACCGTTTTCTTAGGCAGGAAGGAGCGCACACCTGGGGGCGCGATGCCCGGGTGTGGGATTGGGGACCCATCAATGGTCTTGGAGCAAGTGTCTGGTCCAAGATGTTTTCCTAAAAACTTTCTTTGAGCCCTTTTTATTTATCTTAGGGTCAGGTTGCTGAACTTTACCTTATCCACTGTTAATTTATGGACTTCTGGTATCTCTAAGGAATTTGGGTATGATAGGTCCGGAAGAAGAGAAAATCAAGCCTAGGGAAGAAAGGTATGGAGTGTAGACAAGGGCAACCTTGAGTTACTTCGTGTCTTGAATTTGTAGTCTTCTAAAATCATCATTATTATTTTTTATACTGGGGATTTAATCCAGGGCCTGCATACTAAACATCGTCAACTCTTAAAATTTTGAGACAGGGTTTCACTGTCACCAAGTTGCCCATGCTGGACTTGAAATTCCAATCCTCCTGCCTCAGCCTCCCTGAGTGCTGACCCCAGTCCAGCTCCCTACATCACCTTTTTCCCTCCTTCCTTTACCTCCCCTCCCCCTTTCTTTTCAGTGTTGTGGATTGAACCTGGGGAGCATTGGGTTGTATCTCTTTTTAAATTAATTAATTGGAGACAGAGTCTTGCTTAATTTCCTAGGCTGGCCTCAAACCTACCATCCCCCTGCCTCAGCCTCCTTACTAGTGAGGATTCTGGGTGAGTGCCACCATGTCTGGCTATCACTTTGCTGTTTGCCACTGTGCCCCATTAGTCCCAGCCTCAGAAGGCTCTCCTCCCAGTGCCCTTGTCTTCTGGCCCATGCCTGCACCCATGGGCTCTTGCTAGGAGCAGCAGAAGGTCCTCGCAGGAGCTGCACACTCAGGTGAGGGTGGCTTGAGTCCAGGAGTTCAAAGCCAGTCTGGGCGACCTAGTGGGACCCACTGTGTCCTCAGTGGCAGGCCTGCGTCCCCTCCCACCCTGGTCTTGCAGCTGCTGGGGGAGGAGATGTGGTCCCTGTTCCCTTCACCCCAAGGTGGCTGCTGAGGACAGGTGTGCGCTAGGGTGGCAGGCCTGGAAAGAGGGTTTCTAGCTGGCTTGTTTTGCTCTGAAGACTTGGCCTTGTAAATACTTTCCTGACAGAAACCCGAGCCAGTTGGCTTCTTGTCCCCTTGGCTTCCTAGGAAGTCCTAGGGGTGCAGGAGCTCACTGGCCCCCATTGGGGTCCTGGGTGTCACCATGTCACCCCAGGCTGGTCTGATGGGCTTCTCCTCTAGCAGCACAGAAGGACAATCCCTTCTGGCTGCTGCTCCAAGGCCAAGAGGACAAAGCGGGTACCAAAGTTGTTTGGTGTCTCTATTTGTACCCAGCAGTGGCAGGGTCATAGAGCTACAGGAGATTGGCACTTATAGGAGCAGACTCTGGGGTCCCCAGGAAGCAGGCTGCCTCTCCAAACTAGGGGGTGGACCCTGAGGGTCCAGCGGTACATCCTTTCTTTCTGGGTGAGGAACCTAGCTTTTTCCTTTCCCCCTTTCTTTTTTGTGGTTCTGGGGCAGAACTCAGCGCCTCATGCATGAAAGGCCAGCTGTCTACCACTCAGTTATATCCCCAGTCCTTTTCAAATTTTATTTTGAGGTAGACTTTCCCATTGCTGGGACAAAATCCCCGACACAATGATGTAAAGGAGGAGAGGTTTATTTGGCTCACAGTTTCAGAGGATTCAGTCCATGGTTGTCTGGCTCCAAGGCAGGAGCATCATGGGGGACTGGTGTGGGAGAGGAGAGCTGCTCACCCATGGCAGACAGAAAGCAGAGAGCAGGCAGGAGCCGGGGAGAGGAACACACCCTTCCAGGTCACCCCACTGACCCACCTCTTCCCATTTGCCACCTCCACAGCACACTCAGCCATGAATGCCTCAGTGGGGGAATCCACTGTTGAGTACAGCACCCCGTGACCCCATTCACTTTCTAAAAGCCCCGCCTCTGCACACAAGACTTTGGGGGGCATCCAGATCCAAACAGTAATAGCTAACCTGGCCTCAAACTTGTGATCCTCCTGCTTCAGCCTGCCAGAGTGCTGGGATTGTACAGGTGTGTGCCACAACACTGGATTTTTTTTTTTTTAATTTTGACAGGGTTTTTACAACACTGGATTTTTTTTTTTTTAATTTTGAGACAGGGTTTGCTAATTTGCTAAGTTGCCTCTGCTGGGTTTGAATTTGCAATGCCCTTGCCTCGGCCTCCCGGAGTGCTGGGATTACAGGTGTGCGCCATCACGCCCAGCTTGTTGTTTGTTATTTCTAATTAGTGTATCCGTTCTCCCATTTCTGATGGAAGTTTGTTTCCAAGAAGAACATGTGTGAGTATAGTTTCTAGTGCAGACGCATTGCCGCTGCGTGTAGCAGCGTGTGCCCAGCCTCCCTCCCCACCCCAGGTAGGTGCTGCGAGCGGAGTGATCCATGGCTCCTTCCTCACCTTGGGCGAGCTGACCTCAAGGTGGGAATTGCCATACTGTACCCAAGTGCAAGTGACCCTCGAATGACCTCACTAGTCTCTTTCTCCTTCCTGGGACTACACAGAGCTGAGGTATCTCGGAGTCTGTCTGATGGGCCTGGTGTCTCGGTCCCCGTGTGGTTTCAGTCCTCTGTGGTGTCGCTGGAGCGCTGTGAGGGCACCCACAGCCGAAGTGACATCCTCACCTGCACCGGCTTGCCTCTGTCCCACACGTGCCAACTGAAAGCCTTGACTTAGTCATCTCTGTGGCTGGGACCTAATCCCAGGTGCCCACAGTACAAGGAGGACAGGTTTCATTTGGGTCCTTGGGGAGTCAGCCCACGGCCGGCCGCTCCAAGGCGGGAAGAGCACGGCAGAAGGGCCAGGGAGAGCTGTGCACCCCACAGCGAGGAAGCTAAGGGAAGGGAAAGAGGCGGAAGGGAAGGATCTGGGTCCCGACAGAGCTTTCAAAGCCGGTGCGCCCAACGCCTGCCTTCTCTCTCGAGACCCCGCCTCCCGGGGAGCCCATTGGACTACGCTCTCATCTGCGGGCCAATCCACTGGCGAGGACAGAGCCCTCGTGACCCCGCCCCAGGAAGTTGCTGCGGTGGTCACTGGGCTATGCCGCAATGCGGAAGCAACTAGGTCTCATCCGTGGGCCCAATGGCGGCTCTGGGGCCACGGGTGACACCCCTCGCCGTGCCCAGGGTAGGCTCCCAGAGTGGAGGTTGAAGCCATTCACCCAGAGGCGAGATGACACCTCGATGTTTCATGCTTGTGCCTCTGTAGAGGCGCTCGGGGACAGCCGAAGGCCCGTACTCGGACCTCGCGCTCTCCCAACCTAGGCTTCTAGAGCTGCGCCAATACTCTCCTCACCAGGACCCAACCCTCTGTCCCTCGGAGGCACCGGAAGTCAGGCGCCCGCTGTCCCCAGCGCTCCTGGGCTACCCTCTTGCCGCTGCTCTGCTAGGGCTCCCAATGTAAAGTTCGGGTGCACCCTGGGGCTGGCTCTTTGGGCCTCCGATTCCCCCCATCCCCTGACGACGCTTGAGGACAGCGCGGTCGCGTTCCGCCATCTTGCGGGGCGCTGCGTTCTCGTCCTTCGCAGCTGCACTGCGGGGCAGGGCCGGCGCGACACCTTCCCAGCTTATGCAACAGGACCGAGTCTACCGAAACGGGTCCTGGTTTTGAAAGCTCTTGTTGCATTTCCCATTTCTTTTAACTGTAAAGTCTCGCTAGGTCGCCCAGGCTGGCTTCCAGTTGCCCTTCCTGCCTCAGCCTCGAGGAGCTGAGCTTCCTGTTTCCTGATGGCTCTCTTTTGTTGGATCCTGGGCGGGAGCCTCTGCTCCTCCTAGGTGTCCCAGGCCCGGTGTTACCATTCCAGCCTGGGACAAGGGCAGCAGGTTCTGTGGCAGGTTAAGGAGAGGCCTGGATGCGTCAAAAAGCCCTAGCCGGGCGTGGTGGCGCACGCCTGCAATTCCAGTGCTCAGAAGGCTGAGGCAGGAGGATGGCAAGTTCGAGCCCAACCTAGGGAACTTAATGACACCCTGTCTCAAATTAAAAAAAGAAAAAAATCCCTGGATGGCCCAGTGCAGTCCTGTGCACCTGTAGCCCCAGCTACCGAGGAGGCTGAGGCACGAGCATCGTTGAGCCAATACCTCATTTCAACTACACACAAAGGGCTACATGGTGATGTGGCCAGGGCCAAGCTGGCTTCCCCAACTCACTGTTCACTAACAAGGGCCACCTAGGCCCCGAGCAGCCAGAAGCAGGCTACCTCCTGGGCAATTTCTTGGCCAGTTGGCTTCCTTGCTCCTAGATGGCCACCCTCAGACCCTTGTCCTGTCGGCCTCATCTCCTCTCCTGGGCCTAGGCCACAATCTGCAGCACCACGACACCGGAGAGGGCAGGGGGAAGCTGTGGTGACCCTCAGGGGCCCGGTTCTCCTCCTTGGGGCACTGGCTTGCTGAAGCCTTGGAATGTGACTTAGTGGAAGTGGCAAGAGTGGCTCTTGATGAGGGACACACATGGGAGGCGGCCCTACTCGCCCTATTCCTGGGCCCCTTGTGCACACCCCCTGTTGCAAGCACCAGGTTGAGGCTTCGTTGAGGCTGCCCAGGAAGGGCCAGGCAGAGACAGGGCCACCTCAGAACTCCACCTGGAAGCAGTGTCACTTCTGACTCAGAATGTCACCTTTTCCTCAAGATTTCTTGCCTCTGTGGACTGGCAGTGTCGCCTGGAGGGACTTGGTGGGGCAGGGATGTGGCTAGGGCAGAGGCTGGCACAGGCAGTTGAAGGGGTGGCAGCTAAAGCAACTGTGACCTGTCCCTGTACTCAAAGCTGGTCTGTGACAGACACTTGTGGGGTAGAGTGGGCTGACAGGGACACACAGGAGACTTGGAGGTGGCATGGACCCTGGGTTGGGCAAGGTGAGGTGGCCCCAGAAGGTGCCATGGAGGATGGTGGTGACACAGGGAGCAGGGAAGCGACAGGTGGCAGGGAGGAAATGAAGAGGGACTGCGGGCTGTTGGAGGTTTAATGATGGGCAGGGAGGTGGACTGTTTTGGAGTGTTGTGGTGGTGGGGGTGGGACGGGCCAGCTGGGGCCATGAGGTCTTTTCCAGCCAGGAC